TGAAGGTAATGCAGGTGAGCCTCAATGTCGAGGCCGAGGGAACCGCCGTTGCAGCTGATGCTGGCGATGCCCTCGCAGACGCGAATGTCGGCAACGGTGTAGTCGATCTTGTTGGAGCCACCGCCCGAAAGCCAGTACTCGACATTGGTGTGCCTGTAGCCAAGGATGATGGGGGGAAGACGGGGGACGGGGTCGGCGGCGTGGGTGACGCGGTACTCGGCGCCGGCCTGGGCGGAGACAAACTTGGCGAAGTAGTCGTTACCGACACGGGGCGAACCGTACGTGTAGAGGGTGACGGGGATCGACTCCTTGGCGCGGAGGTAGGCGGCGCCGATGGTAGCAACAGCGGCGCCAAGGGAGTGGCCGGTAGCGACGACGGTGTAGTTGGGGTTGGCGGCGCGAGCCTGCTTGATGGCGGCGATGGCCGGGGTGCGGATCTCGCGCCAGGCGTTGTTGAAGCCGGCGTGAACCTTGCAGTTGGCTGTCAGGTCGGTGCAGCCAGTGAAGGCGAAGAGAATGTTCGAGATCCAGTTGCGGATGCTGCGGCGTGTTAGTGGCTGACTCGAGCAGCGGGAGAACTTGGGTCTTACTTGGAGGAGCCGCGCACTGTCAGCACAATGGTGCGGGCGACATCATCCCTGACCACGAGACCTTCAATGCCAGACGTGGCACCGGAGAAGGAGGCTATGGTGGTAGCCTGGTTCGCCTCAACCTGAGGACAGCCGTTCTCCGAGCACTTGACGGCGGCGCCAGGCGCATTGGCCCCGTTACAGTAGGCCGCGGCAGCATACTGGACGTAGAAGCGGAAGCTGTTCAGGTCTGCACTGGTGACGCCGACGGCTGGGTAAAACATTAGTCGAGCAAGCATGAACTGGAGTGGGGGGACTGACCTCTTTCATCAAGAGCCGCAAGAGTGTTGCCATACTCCTTGATTGGCAAGACACCGGCCGTGGCCGTGGCGGCCAGGAGAGACAGGACGGGCAGCTTGAACAACATGTTGACTGAATTTCACAACAGCAACAAGGAAGAAGAGCTTCAGCGAGCGAACAAGACGCTTTGATCGAAACCGTCGAGATCTCGAGCACCGCCTTGAGCAACTGGAATCCGTGTAAGAGAAAGCGAGACTGTAACAAGGGCATTTGATCCCACAAGACCGGCGCGGCAGAGCCTTCATATAGAGGATCATCTGGGGAAGGCCATGTTCATCGCGGGATGAACATGTTCCTGGGCGCCGGTACCATGCTCCCTGTTCGAAGAGGAGGTGACAAGGGCCATCCCTTGAAAGGCCCGTCAGTGTGCACGGAGAAGGGGGGGCGGAAAGGGGAACGGTCTAGAAGACAGTTGGGAAGTTCCGACATGTCTCAGCATCCGCACATCCGGAGGCTGCAGCAGAGATGCGCTTCGTGGATGGGTCAGAAACGAGATATTGGCTTGTCGCGGCGGGAAAAGCACACATGACAAGGCTCCGTTGGTCAGTAGCAATACCCAAGGTGGTAGACGGCGTTCGCGAGGCGCCGAACGTAGCAACGTCTTGCGCCCATCACCACAGGTTCACCTGGACGATTGACCAGTAAGATCGCAAGGTAGCGTCGCAGGCCAGCTTCCGCCCCGGCCACAGAGTGACAGCCAATACGACTGGCTGAGAGGCAAGGGGTGCGAAGCGCAAAGTAAGAGAGTGTGAAGGGAAAAAAAAATCAATTTTGGCTTCCCCCGCAAGCCGGTCGGGGCGCGAACGGGGCATAGGTTCGTTTGTTGGGAAGGAAGAAGCGGGTTCTCGTCGGGCTTCGTCTCTGGCGAAGCAGCTCCCCAAACCAGCAAGGCTTCGGGCGTGGCTGCCAGAAGGAGCACAAGAGACGAGGCGGCCAAGGATATCGCGAGATCTGGGATGGTGGGGGATGGGGTAAGATCGGCACTTGAAGGTGTGCACGCGGACGAAGAGTGCGGGCGCGTGTCGGGGTGGCTGGCGATTGGCCGACGATTGGTGCACGCTGGGTTCGTATGGAGTCCGGAGCTGTCACTGGATGTGTGTGCCCGGGAAGCACTGCGCCGAACAGAGGCGGTGGAAGATGGCGTCGGCATCGTGAGCTGAGAGTAGGATGCGGTCGACTTGGATCGTTTTGGGAGGGTTCCTCCGACCGGTTCCACGACGAGTCAACACTTCGGTGCGGACTGGAGTCTGGTGACCCAGCGCTGGATCGTGTGAGGAGCCCGGAAATGAGGGCTTTTTGTTCTTTGACACGGCTGAAGCTGCTCGATGCTCGGGGATCACCACCGGGGTTGCTGAGGTTTGTTGAGGGGAGAAATGAGTGATGGGGTCTTGTAGGTGGACACGATGTATCTGCCGGAGGGTTTTTGGCAGTCGAAGTACTTCCCCTCTCCACCGCCATGTGTCCCCCACAGTCCACCATCAACAGCTGGGTATTGCCTGCCAAGTCTTTCCTTCCTGGCTGCCTGGGTCGTGCCTTCATCATTATCGTCATCATGCGACCCCCTCCTGCCTCCCTTCTCATCTCGACTCTCGACCTCAGCTGCCCCTGCCCCGCCTGGGTGTGGCCACCTGCTGGAAGTGCAATTTGCCATGAAAGTCATCAGGACGTTCCAGCTCATCATGCTCATCATGCTCACATGCTCATATGCTCATATGCTCATATGCTCATATCGCTCCCCAAAGCGGCTGAGCTCCTGAGCCAAGTTGGATAACTCACAGCGCTGCGTACATGGTACACGACACTGCGCTGCTGCGGACCATCCCATCCATCCATCCCTTCACGCTATTCCCCTCCCCTCCCCGGCCATCTTTTCAAATGACGATGCCGATGCCACCCAATTTATCAAGCCAGCAGCCGAGAGCCCCGGGAATGCAACCCTATCTCAGCAGCACAGCAGCACAGCGGCACCGTTGTCCAACTCTCCAGCCTTTGCACCTTTTGTCTGCCGATGCCAACCAGTGCCGGCCCAGCGGCAGCCCAAAGTGGCCGGTAGACAAGGGGGCGCGCCAGCCTCAGTGGGCTTTGGCTTGCCAGAATGGGCATCGTCACATCACGAGGCCCTTCGATCCACGACTTCAATGCGAGCCTACGTGTTGACCCAGCAATAGGAGTCAATTCCCGTACACCAAACCTTCGACTCGAGCCTCGGTTGACACGATCGTCTGGGTTTTTGACTTGTGATAAAGCAGATTCACCGTCGACGAGACTCTAACCAAGACAACATCCACGAGGCGCTTCGTTCGAGAGGGGTCTAACAGTCATTTTCGGGCTCGGCCAAGTTCCTCAGAGTCTTCTTTCTTCTTCTACAAGGGCATTGTCTGTCGGCTGCCGCTACTGTGCAGATGTCTCGCTACACTCTCGGCCGAGTCGGCTCGCCTGAACAGTACCACAACTGACAGCGTTGCTCGTCATCACGGTGATCCACCAGATCTATCAGTCTCCGGCTCCATCCACCGCACCGTTGCACCCTTCCCACCGCAACGACTTTCTTCTCTGGGGCTAGCGACTGATTCTGATTGCTCAACTGGCTCGCTTGACCAAAGGGCCGAATTGATACAGCAGATCGATCGATATATGCGGTCTAGTATACCACAGGCGAGCCACCCCGCAGTCTTTTTCGACCACCTGCCAGTGGCTCGGCCCCTGAATTGGTGCAACCTCACAAGTTGATCTGTCAAATCGTGGGACCAGAAGTCAAGGATGCCAAGTCAGGAACGTACCATTCTTAGCTGGGATGTCAACCTTTTTCTTGATAGATATTGCGCCATGTGAGCCTGGCGATCTGCACGTTCGGGGCTCATGTGAGCCACCGTAGGAATGCAGGGCCAGAAACTTTAATGCTGGCATGCTTGGCTAGGCATTGGTTCAAACTATAAGTATGCACATGGTAAGCCGCAGAGTCTTGAGGGTGTCCCGAGTTGTCCCATCTCTGGTACGGCGGAAGACCGGTTCATCTGGTCTCACTGGTACAGAGCCAAAAAGCGTGAAGCATCTCCGCCTTGCATTCGTGAACATGGCACCCTCCCCGAA